AAAAAAAAGTGTTTTTGCGTGTTTTTTATTTTTTAAAGGTTTTGTGACTTCATTGATGTCACTCTTCAACATTCCAACTGTTTCCAACTGTTTCCAACTGTTTCCAACTGCTTCTTTTGATCTTTGAAGATTTGATATGTTTTGTTGTGTCTTATTCCAAATTTACATTTTTTAGTTGTTTCTAGTACACCTTGTGCAACATGTGTGGTAGACTGACAGGCTATCAGACTGACTGCCAGCGTTGATGGTACATGGTAGCCACCCAAAAAAACATCACAAATCTGACTCTTCAACAAAAACATCCATATGGAATTGAACAAAATCAATCAGATGTTTGACTAATGCAAAAACAACTAAACCCTAAACCCTAAACCCTAAACTCAAAAAACACCAAAAAAAAATCGCGAGAGTTTAGTTAGTTATTAGTTACTTGACTTAATATGTGAACAAAATATACAGGACCCATCCCGTCCAGAGGACTCCAAATTAAGCTCTAAACCTTAAGCACCAAAACCTAAACCCTAAACCTGGCGTCTCAACCCCTGAACCCAGGTATGATGGTGATTTGGGTAAACCCAGATGTCTCCCACCTACCTTCAAGCCACCACTGCCTCCCACCGCCCAACCCTGAACCCAAAGGCCCGGTAGACCGGTGGACACACAATTCTCACAGTCCACAGCAACGTAAGGTAGACCTGTTCACCCCACCTTCCCCACTTCTCCTTTGCCCTCCCCCTCCCCTTCAACAACGGTCCAGCTCCCCACACATATCCCAGTCCATGCATACGTGCCCCTGTGCTCTCTCCAGGCGGCAACATCTCACATCAAGGGAATGGCAGTGCCGCTGGAAAGCGCAAGTTACAGATGGAGCTTTCGTGGTGTTCTGATGATGAGCCATTTGGGGACATGACCAACCTCCAGGAAGTTCAGGCACCTTCACAGCCTCCACCTGTGAAAAAAAGCCAAGAGAGCCTCGCTAAATTCCAAGCGGCCTAAGCAGACTACTGATCAGGAGAGATGGATGATGGATTTGTAAACAATCACAGAAACCTTTACACAGTATTGGCCCTGGCCCAACGGTTGTCTCATCTCCGCTCCAGCTAAGAGACACGAGACATGTGTTTTTGATGGTGACCTGTGACACATGACTCCCTCCAACCGAGCCTGACCTAGAACTACAATCATGTCATAGTCAATGGACCAAGTCCCAAAGTTACTTGTGCCATCACACAGGACCAGGACCAGGAGGAAGACGGTGACACTACAGCGGGGGCTTTGCAAGTGGCAACGTTGGAGGAGAGCTTCAAATGGCATTATCACCTCAAAGAAGTTCTTACTTCGAAGTGGGGAAGCACCGCCGTGGACAGACTAGCTACAAATTTGTCTGGAGCCATGTGGATGTCGCAATACAGTTCTTTAGCCTAGTATATGTGGGCATTGGGTATGTTTTGGGTTTCGGTTTTGGTGAATTTTGGTGTTCATTGGTCATTAGTTAGGGTCCCATTGAACCCGTTTTGAACCACCGTCAGCCTGCACTACCAGGGCCAGGGGGAGGTATGACCAATCTAGTGAGCATTCTGAATTTGTTTGAGAGTTTGTTTGTGTTCTCGGAGGTGGCATGGGTGGTATGGAGATTCTTAAGACACATCTCGAGACAGCAACTGATCTTGCTGGCCTTGGTCTACAGCGTGGTGAAGTTTACCACTCCATTGACTACAACCCAGTGTGCCAACGAGTTTTGGAACACCACAATCCCGTGCATGTGTTCAAGGACCTTCTCCAGCTTCTGAGCAAGGAGGCAAGGGTGTCTGTCCAGCGGGTGATGTCCAGTCACGAGCAGCTTGTCAAGAGCATGGTCCACAAGACCCAATCTGCCTCTTCAAAGACTGAGAAGGCCAGTGCGAAGAACGAATTGAAACGTGTTGGGGAGTCTTTACTCAAGGTGCTGATGAACTGCATGGACCAGTTCACTACCGAGGACCTGTTCCAATCGCATGCTGTTTGCTCGAAGCATCCAGATGCAGCCACCAGATGTCAGGTGTTCCCATCATATGATGGCCCTGAGGATCCAAAGGAATACTTCATGGCAGGCACATCGTGCACCGACTGGAGCTCCATGGGTACCCAAACATCCTTGGCAGGACACACAGTGCTGCCCTTTGCTGTTGAACTCCAGCTGATCAAGCGACGACGGCCTGTCGTGTTCTTTCACGAATGCACTCGCAATTTCAGGCCACAGATCCTGCAGGAATACCTATGTGGCTTCTGGGTTGAGAATCATTCGGAAGGTTATGGTTTTTTGTTTTCAGTTTTGCTTTGACAAGAGCTTTTTTTCAACTGACTCTAAGACTCTGAGTCTGAGTCAGTCAGTCTCAGTCTGACACTGACTTCAACATGTTTTGTTGATGGTGGATGTGTGTGACGGGCATCTGAGGATACACGATCCACTCCATGATCCAGAAGCCCACCAATCGGGGGTTCCCAATAGCACGTACACGGGTCTACACCGCATGTGTCAGGGAGGACTACCAGCTCTTGGAAGACATCACCAAAATGAATGCTTGTGATCGCACGCCGGCCTTTGACGGTGGGAGCTTGTTCTGTGCACCACAGAACATGGTATCTTGGTTCTAGTTCTGGTTCTCCGGTTCTCGCAACACTTAGACTTATATAGCTACTTAGCTTGAAGTTTGTTTTCAAAGTTTCAAAGGTCAAAGTCCAAGTTTTCTCATCAGTCTCATCAGCACTCATCTCATCAGACTCATCATATCATTTTATCTGAGTTTCTCCTTCACCTTCACCTTCACCTGCAGATCACGTCTTGGGGGCCTGGTCCAGTGGTCCAGGGTCCACACCCCGTCATTGTAGAATTCTAGGCAAAGTTAAACGATTAACGATTAAAGACTAAAAATGACATCAAATTGATAATTGACTATTGACAGTTGACATTCTGGTCACCTGGGTCCGGAGTCCTGGGTACTGGGTACCGACAGTAGTACAGTTATAAAGACACCGACCTGACCTAATTAATCGGATAATCGCAATCGCCTGCGTCGCCTACTAACTACTAACCCTAAACCCTGATTACTAATCAGACTTTTTAAAATAAAGGGTTTTTGCACGTCAACTCAACTCCACCAATACTTACGCGTTCATACTTTCTTGAAGCGGATTACGTGGCCTTGCCTTGAGGTAGATGCTGAGCTGAAATCACTTGCAAAAAAGGGATCAGGTGCAACTACATTCTTTGATGCACTCCCAGCTGCGTTTCAGGCCAGGATGGTTTGGTGCTTGGTCACTGTGGGTTACAAATGCACCAAATCCCAGGTAAGATTCCATGATTTCACAAAACCTTTGTGGGTCAACTCTCTTCATACATTTGAACAAGTTGAACGTTGCCTTGCATACGCATTGATTCCAGGTCAGGCGTGACCAGTACAATGAGAACAAGGATATCAAGAAAATGCTTTCGAACGGCAACGATGTCATCATCAATTTGACTCAAAATGTGGACTTCCTGAACTATGCGTCAACGAATTGCCCCTGCTTGCTTACCAAAAGCTTCATGTGGTCCATTCGCAAGCACCGACCATTGACATGGCAGGAGCTATTGAACGCGCAGGGCATTCCTATGTTTGAGGATTCTATTGCATCTTCTGGCATTGGGTATTGTCTTCTTCCAGATGATCTCGGTCGAGTGGCGGGCGTGAAGTTGGCTGGCAATGGCTTCCACATTGCGTGTGCAGGAACCTTCGTTGGGTTTGTCTTAGCTTTTTTGGCAAAGAAGACCTAGAATCAATTTCCGGTGGGTCCGTCCGCCCCTGGCCGCCCGGGTCGGACAGACGCCAAGGTAGCGATCAGCGATTGGCGATCGGACCGGATCAATGTCAATCGTAAGGATCCCTAATTATAGATAATTTGCATCAGTACAGTGACAGTGCAATGTCAATGCGTATGCGGTTTCAGGGTTGCAGCTTGCTTTGGGTGTAGCTATGCTGCAAGGATGAATGAAGCTATGACTATGGTTTGTGTCAGACATTTTGTCAGACAACCTTCAAGCCATAGAGATTTTGTAGCTAAGGCACCGGCCGATGGCCATCGGAGCCACTCCCAAGTCTTGTCACGCTGTCTAATGCCGATGAAACAGATCTTGTGGCAGGTACGGTATTGATCGCAGTCACACTCGATGAAGGAAATTCTGTGAAGCCCTTGATTGGTTTCATTGCTATGTTTATGCTAATGCTTGGGCCTCCACATGTTCAAATTTCCATCATACGAGGAAAAAAACAAAGAACTACATGAGCTCCCAGCGAATATTTGTATGACCATTTTCTGGGCTCAGGGTTTTCGGGGCGAATGGTGGTCAACCACCATACTCGACATGACATGATCAGATCAGACAGACAAGGACTGTGTCAGACAAGACAAGACAAGTCAATATAATAAGATAGGAAATGATATGATATGTGCAATATATGACATATGTGATATGTCCTGTCATGTTTCTTTTTTTTTTATCACTTTACCACACTAGCCTCAGTCCTGGTGGCTTGCAGGGGGCCAAGGAACCTTCAGCGATGTCTGACAACGTTTCCTTGGCAAAAGCCAATGCCATCGTGGCGACCGCGACCTCGACCACTTGTGGTATTTGCGATGAGGAGATCTCAGAGGCCGACAAAGCACAAATAGCACTCAAGAAGCTCGCTTCTGGGTATTGCCTTGCCGATTCATACGCTCTACGTGCCTTTCAACAATGTTGCAAGGCACAGAAAACCGAGAGCCAAATGGACCGATTGAGAGATGAAAACAAAGAGCTTTGGAAAGGCACGGTGTTGGCATTTAGAGAGCAGCGACGGACAGGACGGGGTACCAACTTCGATGTGTTGAAGCACCTCGAGACAGTCAAGAAGGCCTTTGTCCAAGACAATGATGATGTTTGGCGTCCCTTGATCTTTGCAGCTTACGTCAAGCACTACATGAACTTACCTCAGCCCTTTACTCTTACAGAGGCTCAGGCCACAGCTCAGTGGCACAGTGATCTTCGCAATCCACAAATCAAGAAGTCAGAGAAGAAATACTTCAACCCCAAATCTCGTCAAGATGAAGCAGCTTGGCCAGGCCAGGGCCACGACCATGAAAATAATATAGTGTTGTTTTAAGCTGTACTGAGTACTGTACTGCACTGTTTTATGGGTTTGTTTTTTTTTGTTATTGTTTTAGCTCAACGGCTCAATCGGCTCAACGTCCACAATAACAATATTTAGATATATTTGGCAAGGCCATTGAAACCAGTAACCAGTGACCAGGTGGTTCAGGTGATTTGTTGGAAGAATTGAATGCATGCCGCATCACGAACTCAGGTATTAACCCGGGTGCATGTGCAAGTCGATGAAGTGGAGCATCGCAGGGAGACTATTGAGTGACTTGTAAGACATTGTTAGCTGATGTGTTTACGTGTTTTCCCATGTTCCCATGTTCATGGCAGATTATGATTATGACTCAAGACTCATGATTAACGATCGGGTTTGGCAAGGCTAGCCGCTCCTAAATCCTAAACCGTATTTTTTTTATGGTGTAGGGGAGCGGCGGCGGCTACTGCTACCCTAGCCAAACCCTGGCCCCGCTCCTAAACTCTAAACCAAATATTTTAGGGTTTAGGGTCTAGGAACCGCTAGTGTCTCAAACCCTAGCCAAACCCTAGTCTAGGAGCAGCTAGCGTCCCAAACCTAGCCCTGTTCCCAAACCCAGCCCCAATTGGTTTGAGGCGATCTCAGCAGATCACAAAGGAGTCAACATCGAAAAGTGCTAGCCAATCAAAAGAGTTAGTTGAACGCTTGGAGAAAAAGCCCATGGATGTGAAGGCTTTCAAGGCTGGAGAGATCGACTTAACCTTGGAGATTGAGGCCAGGTATGTCGTCCAACGTCCCAAGTCCCACATGTCCAAATTCTCCAATGCTCATTTCTCCACACACTCAACTCGGTCTATGTGCTTTATGACGTTTAATTGTGGGTAATTCTTTGGGAACCGGGCGGAAGTGAAGGGCATGCTTTGTGATTCAGGATGATGAGTTGGGCCTACCGAGCTCTTTTGGCAGGGGACGGAGAAACACAAAGGGGTCTGCAGCAGCATCGGGGGCCAATCCCAAGGCTCGACCAGATTCAGGAAAGAAACCTCCTAAGATCGAGAACATGGAAGTCATTGCAACCTCCAAGGCGAACGTGTTGATGGTGTCATTGGAGAGTGTTCAAAAAGCATTGAGATCTCAGATTGAAGCTGCATCTACGGTGTTTGATGCTGCTGGATGTTCAGAGGTTTCTAGGCAGGTTATATAAGTAATTGTGACGTGTTGTTTAACTGTTGTTTAGTATTGTTATTGTTTAGTTTGGCATGGTATAGTTTGTTGAAAAGTTGGGATTGGGATTGGGATAACTGGGATAACAGGGTAGTAATGTGCCAATGGGACCAATGGGACCAGATCTGCCTGTCAATCAGTTCCTTTTTGGAAGCTGCTGGTATTTTCACTTACGTTGTGTGATCCAAGGTGCAGAAAAAGACCCATGAATTGATCGCACGTGGTGTCCGCGAGGAGGATATTTCCCAGTCCATAGTGAAGGGCACAGATCCATACAACTTGGGAGGGACCAGCAAGTCAGTCTACAAGTGCGCTTTTCAATTTGAAAAGCGTGTCAAGCTGGCAAAGTTGTTGATTGGCGATATCCCCTTGGACCTTGACACCTCTTATGAGAAGGAGCTGAAGCTACATGGTTGAACTGTGTGTGTGCACCCCTTTTTGAACTACTTTCAAATAGGAACTTCTGATTATCAAATGTGGTTTGAGTCTGAGTTTGAGGTCAAAGGTGAGGGTTTGAGGCAATGCGCTGTCAGTCCGGTGGCGGTGGCAAAGATGTTGACATGATGTTGATTGTTCATCACATTATAATTAAGTCTATGATTTATGATTATGACAGAGATTACAGATTCTCATCCCAAATATGCCAAGCCCACCCCCGGCCACCCGACTTCTTTTTTTCATCCCTTTGCCATACACCTCCGTGTTTTCAGCCCACTGAACTGAACCAATAACCACCAGCCAGCACTGTTCAGGTCAGCTGGTTTCTTCCCTGAGGGCTTTGCTGAAATTGCAGTACCTTGCCATTTGCTCATGGATTTGAAGGTATATTTGCTTGAGGATGAGCACACCAGGGCAGGAATTGACGAGCAAGCCAAGAAAGTGCGGTTGATGTTGACAGGTTTTCGAACAATGACCAGTGCCTTGAAGAAGGGTTGTTCTGATATGACTTCGGCTCTCAACACCGTGAAGGCCGCGGCAGCTTTGCAGGACAAGCAGTCGCAGGATGGGACTGGGACCACCAAGCCGAAGGCCAAGGCCAAGGCCAAAACCAGAGCCGCCAAGCTTCCCACCTATGCCTCAACGAGCGACCCAAGTGTCATAAAGATCCACCGGCTTCTAGTGAAGCAAAATGAGATCGCTCGGGCGTCATCTTTTGAAGCCTTGAAAACTGCTCGAGATGGGGATGAGCCATTTATCCTGAGGCCTGGTTTTGATCATCAGCAATCTGTGTGTAACGGACAGGCATGCGCATGTTCAAATAATATCCTACAAGCAACAGACTTATAGTACTTATAGTCATACAGTACTACTGGTGCGGGCCAGCCAGGCGGAGGCGGCCAGCCGGAATTGAATCATACTATATAACTATACTATACATAACACACTAACACACTAATTATACAGGTTCAAGTGCACACTGTGCCACTGTGCGATGTCAATGTGAAGGTGTGACAATGAGAGTGACAGCAACACCACAAATCCATAAGTTTCCAATTTACCCCCTGAGGCGTGGCAAGAACATCTATAAGCTCGTTTGGAAAGATGACACTGTCCGTACGTTGGTGACAGCACAGGTGGACGACTTCAAGGCGAAGTGGCCAAAGTCAAACCAGAAGGTGCAGTGCAACTTGATTCCACCAGGACCACGAAAACCAAAAAAGGGGAGGTGTTCTTGGTATCTCTTTGTTTTCTCAATCGTGGGTCGCGACGGTGACGTCGAGGGTCCGGTCCTGGGGTGACAGTAACTTGAATTATTATCGATTTGACTTTTGGAACTAATTTTGGATTTGGGAAGGGGTTGACTATTGCCTGAACTTCGCAGGCAATGGAGTCAAATCAAAAGGCATCCAGGTGAACAAACAGTTAAACAATATTGAAGTTGCTGCCTTTGCTTGCTTTTGTTTTGTTCAGGAGTGCAGCACGAGGAGAATCCAGAACTTTCTACTGCGCAGCAAGATGTGTTAGCTTTGGTGCCTGGTGATTCTGACTGGCCATTTATCCCTGAAGAGGCGGTGTCAGGGCCTCACCTCACCATCCAGTGGAATCATTCACAGAAATCAGTGTCCAGCCTCTCATGGACTCAAATGCCTTCTAGTCTAGCTAGCTGCTGCTTTCCACATCCAAGTTCATCCAAGTTGGTTTCCCTTGTTCATGCTCTGAGAGGCTTTGGTTTCCAGCGCTGAGTCCTGAGGCTCATTAAAGGAGACAAAGACTCAAAGAAACGTGAGGACGTGCTGTATGATTTCTTCTCATCCTGCTTCTTGGCGGGGCAGCGGCGGGACTTCATTCACCACGGTGCTGAGTTGTCGGGCTTGGGCAGTGTCAAGGTCCAGCTGGAAGGAAGTCGCATTATTTGCATGGCATTGGCAACAGAGATCGCTAGCTATCTTCAGAGCCATGGTGAAAATACTGAGGACGAGGCTGGGGTGTTAGACTAATTACTTATTCTTAGTTGTTGCCACCTTCTTTGCATCTTCTTCACCAATGTTTCAATGTTACTAATTGCCCAAAGTGCTGTATTTGAAAGCTTCAAAACCCTCATCCCTGTAGATCACCATGGCCAAGTGCAGTTCTTGGTTGTTGCGCATCGAGAGTGGCTCCATTCCGAAGGTCACCGAGATGCCCTCATTATGTGCAGGATCGGTCAAGCCAGGAGATGTACTATATACACCACCAGGATACTTGATTGTGGATAAGGTGGTCAATGAAGATGCGGTCTCTGTGCGACTCAGCAGTTGGCGAAGACATATGTTTCTTGTTTGTTTCTATGATTTGATTAGGGTCATCCTGTTTGCTGGCAGCCCGGTTGGCGGTTTCTGTTGACATGTACAACTTTGTCAGGGAAGCACTAGTTGAGCTTTTGCTGTGCAGTTGAATGTCTGTTACAACTTTGGGAAGTTGAATCCCAGGAGAGTTCCGATACCAGTATTGCCAGCGACTTGTGTGGACGCCACACGCTTCCTTTGCCGATACCAAACAAAGAGCATCCACATGCATTTGGGTCCAGTCTTGGACTTTATGGAAGAGCACGCCAAGCTTCAAGACACCCTGGTCCAGGCTAAAGTTGAACCAGGTGACACCGACGCCGAGGCCAGCGCTGACGCGGAGGGAGGCGGGCAGCGCTATATATAGTAATATGAACTGAATTTATTTGTTGGTTTTTTTTTTGAATCATTTGAATCTGAATTTGAATGGAATGGATTTCTGAATATGTGTTAATGTGTTATGTGTGTGTGTGTCTCACTGTGCCACTGGAGTCTGAAGTCAGTGGAGTCGTTCTGGGATTCTGGGTGACCTGGGTGGGATGGATGGCTTGTGTCAGGGATCGAGCAGTTCGGGCTTTGAAAGTCAAGCCAAACCACATGTAAAATAAATAGTTTCAATGCTGAGCCCTTGGAGGTGCCAGGTGCCATTGCGATTTAACGGCCCCCTACTTTATTTGTTACATATTACATAGTTGGGTGTTTCATGGTGTTTCATTATTTCAAGATTCTTCGGACACTTGACTGTGACTTGGCTGACTTGGCCCTTACCCTTGGCATTGGCATTGGACGGTCGGCAGGCAGGCAGGATGAGGAGGAAGTAGGGGGTGTCAGTGAAGCACAACGGTCTCTGTTGATCCAGGAGGTAGGAGGATCAGGATTCGGATTAGGAGGACAAGGAGCGACACCGTCGCAGCCAACAAGACCCATCTGTAACTTGTAGCCCCTGCCGCCTCTACTTCTACTGCTACCTCTACTACTGGGACTGCCTCTGGCCTCTACTGGCCCCGATCGGTCACCGGACTGGACCAACTGGACTCACTGACTCACCGACCGGACCTAACCGTGCCTAACCGCCTAGCCTAGCCGAACCTTTAACCTTTAGCCTTAGTGCCTTAGCCTGGTAACCCTGGTAACCGGGTAGCCTGGTAACCTGATTCACCCGCTCCTTTTTTTTTTTACCCACCACCACGACTACACACTGTCTCGCTGGACTCGCTGAACCCTGGCGATGACCGAGATGCGAGCCAACGCCTTCAAGACCATCAGACACGAGTTCTTGCACTTGTGTGGTTTTGTAATCTGGAAAAAGGATGAATGAGGATGATGAGGGGTACACAGGAGGATTAGGAGGATGAGGACGGCTTCGTGGTAGAGCATATGTAGTAGCACGTGCGTGGTAGAACCCTGTATACTAGGCTAACAGCGGCTAACTAACTTAGACTTAAACATGTAACATGCATGCGTGTTGCATTTTGAAGCTGAGCTTCCCGCTTGCATCCGCTTGCCAGCTTATCACGACCCCCCTAATCTTTGCTTGAGACTGAGACTAAACAAACAAAGGAACAAAGCATGGTAGACCGTCTCTGAGACAACACAGAAGGTGTGAGATAATACCGGCCGAGACCAGTGGACTTGAGCTCAGACGTTTGGATGGTTTCAAGATGTGATGTCAGTGATTCAGTGATGTCAGATGTTTAAAGTAATATATATATATATATATGTATATAGTGACTTTATATTATAACACTGATTCACTGATAGTATCTCACGTGACAACCCCATAGTTGAATCATGAAACAAGCTCTTAGAAAAAAAGGGTAGGGGCCGGTAAGGGTGCTGAGATACAAAACAACCAAAAGGATATGACATGATGTTACTACGATATGATGTCCCCTTCTGTCTGACAGGGCAAGGGCGAGACTGTCAAGACCACGGCTAACCAGGAGGATGTGGATGGAGAAGCACTTGAATCTGAGGAGGAGGTTGGGGTCACTGGGGCCCGCTGCGCGCTGGGCCGGTCCAATGCAGGGTGAGATGGTGATACATGAATTACAGGAACAGGAAGGAAAACATATATCGTTTGAAACGTATGTTTTGAATATTTTGACAAAGGACCACAGACAGACAGAGACAGTGCTCAAGAGGGCCTTTGACGGTCAACGGTCCTTTGATACATTTTGTTGATTGGTTCAATTGTTTGTTGCTTGTAGGCAGGAGTCGAGAGGGGGAGTGCCTTTTCTAATTGCAGGAATCAAGGACCTTCAAAATCACTCCCTTAGCAAAAAGACAAACAATCCCTGAGAAGACTCTTGCTACAAGTACGAATGATTTTTGTTGGTCTCCTGATGATTTTCTAGTCCTAGCTTAGTTTTGTGCAGCCAAAGCACACCTCGCGTTTGGGAGGAGCCTGGTACCGAGGACGAGGACCTCAAAGAAATTGAGGCAGATAGCACTATAATACAACTGGACAACAATCACCAAGCAATCGCAACCATTGGATTTAGTGCACACCACAAACAGTTCTGGCGACTTGACCATTCCACTATGGAGGTGGAATTCACCGAGAAGGGATCTTCCCAATGGCTTCCAGGCATTGGGGCGCTGAACAAGTCAATACATTTGATGGATCACCCGTGGGAACCTGAAGGAACCATGGAACGACTCAAAAGGCACCAGCAAAGACAGGCCAAGGCGGCCAAGAGTGCAGCAGACGGCAAGGAAGGAGAAGCAACAGTCACACCACCTGACAAGGCAGCGGCAGGTCTCAAGGAAGGAGAAACACAAGTCAC